CGGGGTGTTATTCAAGCACTGCAGCAGCCTCGTGTTTTTTAGCTGAGTTATTCTTTAAGAATCTGTGATAATACAAGATGGTGGTGAGTACTTTAAACTACTCAACTCCTAGCTGCTGCTTTTATCAGACCAGAATATTTCCAGAGCAGTTACATTAACAAGAAAACCCAACACAAAAGCACAAACCCAGAATGTTCAAACCCTTCATCTCAACATCATAATTACAAACGCTAATCTGTATCTCGGTATTGGTGGTCATTCTTTGCTACGGTTTGCAGTTAACTCTCTCAAATGCATCTTAGTATTTTGAGGGAGGTAGCAACAGAACAGAGGTGGGCTTGAGTGGCCTACCAGATTTTGCAGGCATATTCTTCCATGGGATTTGTGTGGTGTTGTTCTTTCTTGCTGTCTTTCTGAAAGCAACGGTGCATTTGAGGAATTGCACTGTCACAGGTAAGTTGTCAGCTGTTGGGAAGTATTGCTTTTTTCTGAGTGGGAATGATCTTAATGGTCTTTGTTCAAATATATGCATATTCCATTCTTATGATAAAAATCAAATCTGTTAGGAATAGCTACACAATGAATGCAAGTGCAGTTAAAAATGTAAATATGTTGATTGCCAGAGTATGACTTGGTATTTGGAACTTCCCCTTCCTGCCTCCCCACCCCCCCCATGTTTAGTGTAATGAGAAAGAATAGAACTCAGCTGATTCTTCTGACTTTCAGGGCAAGCTAGGGCAAAATTATAAAAGTAAGCTGTTGGTAAACTGGCTATATGTTTGGGGTTTTTTTTATGTATAAATACAGAGGATAGGTTTAGGATAAGTGTCAGTTTTGTGTAGTCAGTCCCTTTCTGGAGTACTGTTATGTTTGAAAGCAGAGTTCTTTACATGTAATCTCACAGTATTTGTGCATTAAGTGATGCAGTATATAGGCACCGCAGTTTAGCTCCAAGTGAAGTGATTTGTGCCAGAGGCAGCGTGGCCACGTTAACGAAGTTAGCTTAGGCAGGCAGAATGCTGCGCATTGTGCTGTGTAGCCGTACCCTTAGTGAGCAGAAAGCTTATGGGTCACTAACAGGAATTAAAATGTCCCTTTGCTATTCGTGTGTTTGTTTGCATGAGAGCTTTTCTGTTCATCAGCCTCTTTCCCCCTCCACCCCTGTCATCGCTTTGTTCTGAGTGGTACTGTATCACTGAGGCTTTGCTGTGTATAAATGTTTTGGTTAAATGTCTCAAGCTCTTCTGTAGACTCTATTAGGAATTAATAGAAGCTTAATTTGCTCAAATGTTGTTCACGTAATAGTGAAGGCAGATATGTCACTGATGGCAATGGCATGGGGGAGCTGTACTGGATCTCTGCACAATACTCTTGTGCTTACATGTGTCTCAAATCCAGGTATTGGTGTTACAGCATCTGTTGTACATTCTGAACCAGAAGTGCACATATACTATTAGATTACAAACTAATATGCTGAGTTGTAATTTCCACCTCGTCTCCAAGGTGGGCGAGGAGAGTTCCTGCAAAGCCTGGGAAGTGCTTGTGTGGCCTTTCTTGAAATTGTTAATACACAGGTAGGTTTAAAGTCTTTGCACCAGGCATGGAAATATCATTTTCAGATGGTTAACTGAAATTGGGAAGTCTTGTGCTTTAACCTATATGTACTTAAAAGTATACCTTGAGCTGAAGCTTATATGTTTTATAGTCTTTAACATCTATCATCTTTTAACAGTTCCATGATAAAATTTAATTGTTCATAGATGAAAGGCAGCTTAGATGTTTACAGAAGAGCTTGTATGTTGTCAAAGTACAGATCAGTAATGGTCACTGTAGGCTTTGTATTAGAGCCTACTAGCACTCAGTCCATCAGATTTTTTTATAGCTTTTGATCCTGTATACGTTTTGTATAACTTTCAGCTCATGGTATATTCAGCTTCTGTTAGCAAGTCTGCATACACCTATGTATCTGTATGTGTGTGTTTTTTCTTTTCTATGGAGAAAAGGAACAGTAAGGAGCATAGTTCAGCCCTGGACACCTGGAGGCAGGGAAACTGTTCAAAAGGCAGAAGCAAGACTGGACGGTGAGAGACAGATCTGACAAAGGACAAAATTGCCAAGAAAGGCAGTCAGGCAGAAAGGAGGATTTCACAGTGACAGTGCCATGAAAGACAAATGAAGAATTGCCTTACAAGTGCTATAAACCTGGACCAAATTATGTTTCAACTTTTTTCCCAGATTCACATTTTTGAGAAATGAAGTCTGAAAGTGTTTGGAGACTATTGACATGAATGAGTTAAGGGAAAGGAGATGAGGAGGATCTGGTAAAGCTGGAATGAAAGTGCACCAGAAAGTTAAAGGTTGCACTGGTAGGCTGATCAAATGTTTCTTTTTCTTTCCAAAGAGTAGGTTAAGAGACTGCATATGAAAAGTAGCATTTTTCCTGACTTTTACATAATTCACTTAGGCTGTTTTTATGGACATAACCATTGCTGCGCTTGACTAGTGATTGTGTGGTGTGTATTCCAGCCTAACAAGTATTCCTTTGTGAATGTCTGACTATTTTTGTCTTTGAAACTTTCCACTAAAGCTGATAATGATGTTTTATGTAAGCTTAAGCTACTAAATACAAGTGAGAATAATGTTTTATACTTGTGCCTAAAGGGTACTTAATGTAATTAGTATGATAGCTGCTGAAACCAACTGGTCTGAAATCCAGAGTTCCTAGCTGTTCCCTTGGGCCTTTCTTATTACTGTGAAAATAAAAACACTGCCATCCATTTACTGTATCGTCTAATGTTATATTTATGTTAATAAATACCAATTTACTTTTGAAACTGTGACTTAGACTATTAAAGTGTGGTATTATGGCCAGTAGTGAAAGATGGGCATGGTGGTAGCATGGGAAAGGGCAGAGAAAAAGGTGGTGTTCTGAATCTTATGTATTTCTGCTTTTTTTGCTTGCAATTTTTCTCCGCCCCTCCCCCCCCCCCCCTTTACTAAGTGGAGCTTAACGTGGAGAATGGTAAGGGTAAGAAGCAAAAATAAAGTGACAAAATGATGAACTGGGCAAGATTGCTTCTCTTTGATTGGCAACAGACTCTGTGTGCGTGTATAAAAACCAAGAAATCTCTGGGACAAAAAACTCTGGCTCTGAGGCTTGATCTGTTGAGTTCAGTTGATACAGGTGCATGTTAAGAGTCTGAAGGAAAAAGTACCAAATACTCCAGCTGATGGGGAAAACACCAGTGGTACATTCAGGTGTGCAGTAGCGTGTTCGATGTGCAAGCTTGTGAAATGTACAGTGGTATTGCAGGCTTAAATGTAATGCTGACAAGTGCTCTTGCTTTTTTAGTTACCACTAAGATGTCTACAAAAGGTATCATTCTTATTTAGGGCTAGGAGGGTGTGGCAGGGAAAAGTAGACTGAGGGCAAGAGTAATAGTAAGCATCAAAAAGTCTTACATTAATTTTCTGGAATAAAGTCACAATGATGCCTTAAGACGTTTTCAGAGCTTGTGTAATGTCAAGGTTTATTTTCAGGAATTGTGCTGGCCTTTTAGTTACTTGTTCTAGGCTATAAAATGCAGAATCCTAGGCTTACTCTTATTTTGATTTTTGTGACATGTCTAGGGAAAAATGGGGGCGGGGGGTGGGTGGAGGGCGGAGGGGGTTGTTAAGGAATAGAAAATACAGGCTTTGAAATTTCCCTGTAGGGTCCTCCAGTGTAAACTGTCCCCTTTTAGATATTGTTTGCAGGTCTCCCTTTAATTATGAGCATGGCTTCTTAAAAGCTTTACAAATTCATAGTGCTGATCAGGAATAGAGTGGTCCTGGGAGAGGGGAAGTGTCCTGAGATTTCAGAACAACTGAGTGGGGAAATGTGTGTCAGTTCGGGAAGCTGCCTTGGCTGTGGAAGCTCTGTAGATGCTTAGTTGGTGGGTTGGGGTGGTTTTGGTTTTAATCTGAAGTCAAGAAATAGAAGATTATGGTTCTCATATTAGCTTTAATAATCTTCTCTATGGTTCTGTAGTTCTGTATATTACACATTTTAGGGATTTATCTTTGTATTATGTCGAAGAGAGGCAGGAGTGATGCCTGTTGAAGGAGTTACAAGTGTGTCTGTGTATATATTTTTAAATCTTAAGAACATAAGTTTCAAGTCTCAGTCGTGATGTTATACTTGCAGTGTCTTGGGATTTTATAGTTCTTCCTGTTTATTCTCTGAAACAGTAGACTGATAGTTAATTTAAGAATTGAACACTAAGAGTAGAAATTCGTATTTCAGTGTGCTGTCACAATCCCTGGAGATGATTGAAACTTTAATTATTCAGGAGTGTCTCTGAAACATACTTACTGAGCTTGATGCTTAAGGAAAACTTAGGCAGATGTCAAAACACTTGAGAGATCTAGGCAGTTAGAGAAATGGGTTATAGGAGATTGAATATTCAACTAACCAGACTTCTGTATTACTAGGTGGTCAGTATTTCATGTGCTGCCCCAGGCTGGTGTATGGCATAGCAGACAATGATGTAATTGCCATTAGTCATTGTGTGGAAAAACATGCCCTACAAACAAGTGATTTATATTTTCAAATGTTTAGGGTTTTTTAGGTTTTTAGAAGGTGAAGTGTCTTCACAGAGGACTAAATATTTAAATGTTTACTTTTTTCTTGCATTTTGCTCAGAAGCATTCAAAACATAGATTTACTGAGCTTCTAAACTTCTTAGCACAAAGATAAAGTTTTAAGCTGACATTATTTTATTTTATTTTTTCTGTAAGACTGGGCTTATAACACTTACTTTCAAGGAAGCCGTCCTGGGATGATGTGGCGTCAGTGGAGTGATGTGTAGTAGAGAGAACGTGCTGCTACAAAAATAAACAAAGGTGTATGTTGCTCAGGCTCCCTGGTAACTTTGAGGGCAAATATAACTCACCTGTCTTTCTGTGTAGTATATTCTTCTGTTGTGCCAACAAGCACCTTAGTCTAATCACTGTTTTATTTTCTAAGTGTACAGCTGTGGATCCCTTTGCTGGCAGTTGTGCTGTCTTGATGCAATATATATGATTTACGGTTAAATTGTTCCTTAGCAACTAAAACAGTTTTCCCTGGTGAGACAAGGAAAAAAATCTAATAAAATCACTTTAGAGCTCTGTGTGTGTGTGTGGTCTGGAGATAGTGCTGCAGATTTTTGCAGGAATTTTTTAATTCAGTTATGCTTGCGTAGATGACAGGTTTGCTTTTTCAAGGGTTTCTTTTGCTTACATGCTTATCCAGCAGAGAGTGGCTTAAAGATTCTTCTGTTATATAAATTACTATAATTGTATGTGAGAATAAATACAGGAACACTATTAAAGTGGGTATAGGCCATAGTGGGATGTTTAGTGTATCTGTGTACAAAACTAATTATATGTTGATTTGCGTTACCTGCTTTGTGATGATCGGTACGGAGAAGTCCCATCCTAGACTGGGAAAACTAGAAATTAAGATAGTCAAAAGAACTATCATTCTAGTTCTTACACAACTGTCACCTTCTTTGCTAAGCTGCTGGTAATAGTAATGTTACCAAAAAAATTTTTTCTCTCGTATGCCTTTTTATCTTCTTACATGTCATGCAGCATTTCTGAGTTCTCTGTTAACTGTGGAAAAATGTGAAATAGTTCAGAATAAATAAAATCAAGCATTAAAGATACCCTTATTGTGCAGAAAGCTAAACTTCATTGGTAGATGCTAAAAATATGACTGTTAAAGGTGGAATGACTAATAAGAGTAGAAATAAGATTACTCAAAAGCTTACTGCGCAAAACCAATGGATACTTAGCAAATAGAAGGAAAACAGCCCCTGATTGTTAAGGTCGAGAGATGATCTGAACTGGCTGTAAGTTATTGGTAATAGTTATGATGTTATTAAACTCCTGCTATCCCTTCCCCCCCTCCTTTTTTTTTAACTCTGCAGTGTTCTATGTTTCTCTTTTTACATGACTTTTAGAGTGCAAGTTCCTTACAGTACGTTTTCATTTTTACTGTTGCACGTGGTGGAACTGATTGTTAGTACCTTGCAAGCAAATGCTTTGCATTCTTGACTGAAGTTTCATTTAAATATAAACCCGAGTTGCTTTGTATTAGTGATCCTTGCTTCCCTTGTCTCCTATAATTTGGCTTTTGTATTCTGTTTCATATCATGAATATGAAGTATATGGAAAAATCTGTTCGCTATGGGACTTCCAAGATGCTCATTTATTGCTGTAAATAAAGGCTTTGTCATAATTTGCCCATAATTCCATTCGGAAGTGACAGGTCAAGAGAGCTGGGAGGAGGGAAGCTGGCCAGAGGAATTGCAATGTGGAGCTGGTATATTGAATTAATATTAGCCCTTCTCCTTCAAACTGTCGGCTCTGTGGTGGGTTGTAGCTCATTTAAAATAATCTAGAGTCTGAAATGAATTTTGAAGTTTTCCTCTCAATGAGATGTTGTGCCTCTTTGATCTAGTCAAACCAGAGGCTGCAATCTGTAAGACACTTCAAGTTTTTTTAATTACTTATTAACAGAAATCTGAATGTTTTCTTTATCAACATCAGATTAGCCAACAAATTTTAAATTTCAGACATATGAATTTTTTTTTTCTTTCACTTTTGTTAGTGTCAAATCAATAGTGCCTTGACCTCATTTCATACTGCTTTGGAACTTGCAACAGACCAAAGGGAGATTCAGCATGTTTGCTTATATGAAATAGGTAAGTGAGATATGTTTATGCTATAAATAGCTCACTTTCAAGTTTAGACTCGCAACTTCAATGAACAAACTGGATTGTTTTTATTAGGATTTTTAAAAAAGGTCTTAGAATACTGGCCTTTGTCTTGGATGGATTGTGCTAATAATTCTGTCTTGTTTGGACGAGTAGAATTCAGTAATTTTTCATAATTTTAAAGTTTTCTGCAAATACAAGGTGATGCAAAATCGGAGACTAGACTGTAGAATCAAGGGCAAACTGTTCACCCATAGGATATTATTTAAAATGAGAAATTATTTTGTCTGTGGAATCACTATTTCTGTGCCAAAGACTAATGGTCTAGTGGAGCTTCACAGTTTGCAGGACCTATATTTCATGTTAATTTCCTTCTGTCAGTAGCAATGTATGCTGTATGTTCTTAATTTGCATACAAGTCTTCAGAGTGGAGAAGAGATGTTGCTTCAAGATTTAAATGTGTCTTGTTAAGGGATCTTGTCATAGTGGGGAAGAAGAAGGGGGCAAGTAGTAGCTTTGTAAGTTTCAGCATCCTACAGAATATAGTATTTTAATTTTTTTTTTTAAAAAAAGAGAGCTTTTGATGTCTGTATAGATTTGTTGTTGCTCTGAACTGGATTCATTGTTTTGTATGGAGTCTTATAATTCAACATTCCCAGTAAATGTAAAGCAGGCTTTAAACATATATCATTGAATCATTTTCTTTTTGACTATTCTAGTTATTGTTATAATTGCTAAACTAGCTCCACCTCTTATGACAGACTGTGTGTTTCAGTAACATTGACACCAAATGGGAATTACTGTGCTTTCTCTGAAGTGAAATTAGTCTTGCTTTTAGGTTGGTGCAGCATGATAGAGATGAATTTCAAAGATGCGTTTGAATCCTTTGAAAGGCTTAAAAATGAATCCAGGTGGTCCCAGTGCTACTATGCTTATTTAACAGCAGGTAAGTATATTCTGTATGTTGGATAAGTGATAAATCAGTGATGCAATAAGGTTTTGGCACTGTTTTATTTTGGGAAACCTACTAGTGTACATAGTGCCTTCAACACTGCCTGCTGCTTATGCAGCTTTATGCCAGACTTGACTTAGATAATTTTGTTTGTTTATATAATGTACACTTGCATGCGTGCACATGTACGTGCATGTGTCTCTGTTCTCTCTCTCCCTCCCCCTTCCCCTTCTAGATGTAGATAAAATTATGATTGTCAGTGTAGTGATGGGTCATATAACAGGGTATTACAAAGATTTAATAAATAAATCCTTAGAGGTTGGGTGGTATTAGTTCCTTTAATGGGTATGGAAAAGAAGTACTGACTTGTTACATGATCGCAGAAGGTACCTGGGAGAGTTGGGATTTGCATGTCGGCCAAATCCCCAGGCTAGATCCTTTCTGGAAGTGAGTGTGTGTGTTCCTGTGACAGTATGATAGCTAATCCTAATTTTTCCTGTTTCTATCCTGGTAGTGTTAATACATTTTTGGTTCTGTGTTCTTACAGTGTGTCAAGGAGCCACTGGTGATGTCAATGGTGCTCAGAATGTGTTCAAGGAAGTTCAGAAGCTTTTCAAAAGAAAAAACAACCAGATTGAACAATTTTCAGTGAAAAAGGTTTGGTTTAGCATAGGCTGATGTGTTTCAGTACAGTAATTACAGTTGGTAATTTTGCTGGGTTCTTTACCAGTATTTAGTTTTGAAGGACATATCTGTTTTCTGGTGTGTTGCTTCTGTAGAATTAGTGGGAAGGATTCAGGTGGAAAAACAATAGTCGTGTATTTTAAGGACCTAGCAAAGGAAATGTGAATTAGCTATTCACTTCACAACTAAAGTTAATTATTAAAGATAAAGATACATTATACTGTAGTTGCTTTGGTAGCTTTGCCTTTCTTATTTCTTTTAATCTTGTCCTGTTTGTCAAAGCCTTAGTTCTTTTTGAAAGCTAAGAGTTGTCTAGGAAATATCTCCCAGCTGATGGTCTTGCAGATGTTACCATTTCAGCATCCAGTCAGTGTGTACTTGGGATTGTGAAATAATACAACAAAACAAATCAGGCTGCATACAAGGAAGCTTTAGTTTTGATCAATATGTAAACTCTTAAATTAATTGAAAGATTTTGCTTTTTAGTCTTACGGTCTTTAAGTTACCACCGCCTTTATTTTCATAAAATTGTTAGGTACTTCAATGAAACAGAATTACTGTTCGTGATATACTGTTTGTGAATTTTACATTCCCTGTAAAAGGGCAGATGACAGATCTCCCTTCCCACTTTCTCCCCACTTTGCAGGCAGAGAGATTTAGAAAACAAATGCCGACCAAAGAGCTCTGTGTCCTGGCATCCATTGAAGTATTGTACTTATGGAAAGCGCTTCCAAACTGTTCCCTCTCGAACTTACAGCATATGAGCCAAGGTATAGTATGGTTCCTTGATTTATTTACTTACTTTTTTAAATGAGGTGTATAATTTTCTTCTGTTGCATGGTGCAGCTGATGGCCGTAGTGTGAAAATTCAAACCTGTGTGCATGTGTCATAGCAAACAAGTTTGAGTAACAAAAGAATAATGACCCATCAAGATTCAGCATAACGCTTAATTTTGACCATTTTTATAGGTTGTTGGGAGAAATTTTAACTGCCTGCTGCACGTAGTTGTTTTTTATCAGTTTCCTTTGCCCATTGTTCAAAATGAAACAATAGCGCAATAGTTATTGTTCAAAGTCACTAAGCAATATTTAACTAATTTAAATCTAGCTAGAAAGTAAAAAAATAAAGCTACCAATTCATTTCTGCATGTTAATTTTCTTCTAAGAGGAAATACATAGCTTGTGAGGTCATTTGTGACATGATAAGGGTTCTCTTTATCTTGGCTGCGGCGACCATCATGTTGTATGATTGTCTCTTAGTCTCCAGATGTCTTTGGGTATCTGTCACACGAAAGCTTATGGTAGCAATGTTTATTGTGAAGTTTTCAGTACTCCCTCCATCCAGCAATCAGTCTTGTTTGCATTTTGCAAACAGTTTCAAGTTACTAACTGCTTGCTTAGAAAACAAAACAAAAAATGTCTGCCACTGAGATACTTCCTTTTTTCTGTAATTATGAAATTTTGGGGATTGTAAATGATTTTTATATTAAGCTAGAAAACTACTGGTCTTTGAGTCGAAAGTCAAGACTCGTTGTGGGGTTTTGTTCTGTTTTTAAGATAACTTGTCCATCTAAATTGCCTGATGGCAGCGGGTTACATTCAGATCCCTAGTTTTCTCATTGCAAAGATAATGGTGAACACTTTAAAATTAGATTTACTTCTGTAAAAATAAATTTCACGATCTTTTTGTCTGTCACCTGCCTTCAGAACAACCAGCTTTAGAGGCTGTGGAGAGTATGTACTACTTTCCCTCACACTCAGAAGCAAAGTAGATCTTCCTTGTATAAGCTTCTAGTCAGTGGTTTCCATTTTAATATGAAATAGCAGTATAGCAGTATAGATTATAATTCAGGCATGTGCTTCGTGTAAGTATGACACTGACAGATGTGTCTGCATCGGTGATCCCTGGTTTAAGATTTTCTGCACAACGAGAGTGCTTATTGCTGTGCCTCGTTTATCTCAAGAATGATGAGTTGATAGGGGATTTTTCTTTTTTTTGCATACTCCTCTCTGAACAATTGGAATGTTAATTTGCTGAGGCGAGTTTCCAGGCTAGAAGCTGACTTAAAACCAAAGAAATTTATTTGTATCCACATGTATCTTTAAATAAAATGCCAAGTAACTTGAGACTCGCAATACAAGCGAGAGTTGACAGCCTTGTGTATTGTGTAATGTCCAAATACTTCATGCAGCCAACTCTTAGTTATTTGTAGGTGGCTTATTTGGGTTGCGGATTAACTGTGGTGTGAATGCAGAGCTAGTGAAGATCTAGCAGGGTTTATGAGATGAGGCAGAATGTAAAGTGAAAGGAGCTCTACTGCTCCAGGCGCAGCAGTTCAGCCCCTTCTGAAGGGATGAAAGGCCCTGAAGGCCTCCCTGTAATCCGGCCTATCTGGAAACGAAGGTTTGCAGACAAGTGCAAATGGCTCCTCATGGCACTAGCTTTGATTTAACAGAGCTGGTGCTAATAAGCTTGATCATTATGGTGCCTGATTCATCTAGAGACGGTTAGGTGCATCATGATTCAGTTCTTTCTGGAAACAGAACACTACTCATCTGAGGCACAGTCTGTCCCTGGATTGTGGACCGACTAAGGACTGGGAAATAAGCCTTATCCTCTCATCAGCACTGAGAACTCTGATGCCAAAATACCCTAGTCTGGGTTTTTAAGTCCAGTACAGATTTGTGTGCGTCTGTCACTTGGCTGCAGTTCAGAACAAATCAGCTTTGTCTGAACTGCTTGCCCTGTGCTCCTTGTCATTTGGACTGTGTACTTTAATTCACGTAGCTGGGACAACCCAGTTTACCATAACACCAGAAGGTGGTGACTGTTTCTTAACTTCACCTTTTAGTGGATATTTCAAAGACCAGTGGAGAAATGGATTCCCTTCTTGCACAGAGAACGCACCAACTGCCTTTGACTTCAGCCCATTCATTCCTGTTAGGAATTGTTCTCATGAGTGACAGCTTGCTTGATGAGGTTCATACAAAATGGGTTGTATTTAAAAGAAACCATGTTGCTAGCATCTCCTTTTTCTGATTAAACTTAATCATCAGACTAAAAGTCCTCGTAGACCACAATTCTTGTCTAAGGAAGGATTTCAATCCATCTTGTTTGTTTACTGGAATCTTTTTCATTAAGCTTGTCAGGATGTTGATGATTCATCAGCTGTTGGTTTGAGGAATTTGCTTCTTGGTGCCATACACAAATGCTTAGGAAATTCTGAAGATGCTGTTCAGGTAAGTTGTTAAATAATAATTTACACCATTAATCCTATTTATGAGCTATTCTGTTAACACTCTTACTCAACAATATTTACTGTTTAAGCGAGCCTTTAGTTGTCAGTGCTGTTGATCATACTGTTTTGTGAGTTCCAACAGTCTATCAGGTTCTTTTCAAATCTCCTGTTTGGCATTTCTTCATTATATTCTGTGTTGTAAAAGTAATTGGCTATGTTGAATGAACATAGTAGCTAAAGTAGCTTGCAGGAGCAAGGAAGCTGGGAAGAAGAATGGAGAAGTTCTTGGCTCTGTTGGATTTACTTTGTCCAACAAAGAAAATTTAACTTTTTAAAAAAAAAATAACTTGGAGATTGACCTTTCAAAAGCATGGGTTTGCTGCTTTTCCTCCAGACCTATTAGATGTTGAGAGGTTTGATTATTAGCACGTACCAAAGAATAATTTTGCCACTGCTCCAGGCTTTGATCTGTAGGCACAACTTTTTCTTTCCTCCCCAAAATAGAACACAATTCACATGAACAAAGGAGCTAATGTTGGCTTTAAATCTTCTTTCTTCTTTTTTTTTTTTTTTTTTCCTGCTTCTCTCAGACATATTTTAAATAATCCGGGTACTTAATCTCTGATGTTAAAGTTCCTTGTTAGACCTAGTATTTTTTCAATGTGAATTTGAAAAACTCATGAACCAGTCAATATATTACTTAGTGAAAATTCAAACAAATAGTTTTGCCTTGATACAGTAGTGTCAGCGGAAACCTCTGGGTCCTTGCTTAAAGAAACTCTACCATTGGAAATTTTTAATGTATTCTCATTTTAGCTTTGGGCTAATTGTTAGAGCTAAAAGTTGCACAGTACTTCTGGATTATTTTTTTTTTTAAGTATCAAACAGTCAATTTTAATGTATTACTGCAATCTTTTTTTTCTTTAATTTTTACAGTTCTTTCAGCGAGCTGCTAAAGACGAACTGTGCCGTCAAAACAACTTATATGTCCAGCCATATGCATGCTACGAACTTGGCTGTCTTCTGTTAGACAACCCAGAGGTAATAGCGTAACCTGTTTTTAAACTGTTAAAATTAGGATGGGGAGTCAACATACCACTATACAAGCAATGAAACAAAGTTTATAGGTGATAATGTGTGTTAGGTTTTAAAAATTTGTTTTAGACCAACAGTAAAGAAACTTGCATTTCTTGTTTGCAACAAACCACAACAGTAAGGCGGTTTAGGTAATGACATCTTAATTTTTCAGTATCAAGAGCTATAAGGATGTTCTGAGGAGCTTAGCTATCTGTTGATAACACTGCAATGACTTGTTTTGTTGTTACAGAGTTTTATTTTTATGTAAAAAACCAGAGCCCGAGACTCTCTGGGATTCTTCGGGGCAGCTGTTACACTTCTGACCATTAGTGGTGTCTTTCTTCAGCAGTAAAATGAACATGTCTGCAAACCTACAGCAAGCAGTAAAGCAAGAATTTTGATAAGAGTAGCACCACATTGTTTTGATTATTATTGAGTACTTTATCCTGAAAAGCACCACAAAGACTTCACTTTTCACCTCTCTGATCATGCCATGATGCCCATTTTTTTTCATATGTGCCTTACAGAAACTGTATGTATAAATACTGGGGTATAGAAATACTTCAGGTACCCCTCAAGATGCAAAGACTTCTCTCTCCCTTCACCTGCCTTAGTGTTCCTGCTGGTGGTGGCAGCAGAGGCCTAGCAAGAATGAATGCCTTGGGTAGGCAGGGATTTGTTGTCTGCAGGTGGCATTTAGTGTGGTGAGTGCCTAGGATCCTTTTCTTACGTATTTATTTTCCTGTTGGATGCTGTTCAAGTTCAAAGATTACCTGTAGTTATACTATCCAAATATAATTTAGTACCATCCTAAAATAGCTCTGTGGTTTTTGGGATCAAACTTATATTTGGAAGAATATGGTTTTTGTCAGAAGTCTTTTTACTTTGGGATTATTTATCCCCACTCTTAGGAGAGATATCTTCCTAATCTCACACATCAGTGCATCTTGGAAATTTAGCTGGACTGAGGGCACGCATACCATCGACCTGTTTCATTGCAAGGGATGTATAAGTAAAGTGATTTCAGTCATTTAAATTCCGCTAAAGCTGTATGTGTTGGCATTTTGGTTTTCACCCTGAGTAGTGAGGGTTTTGCTCTTCAGGGTGAAGAGGAAGATAATCCACCTGGATTTCAGACTGTCCAAATGGCTTGGTTGATGATGGATTTGATCGTTCAGGTCTTGCACATACTCTGCCTTCCTAGGGAGCGGAGCCCAGAGAATCTTAAACTAGGGCGACTTCTGCACCACTCTTGATGGTGTTTCCTTCCTCAAACATATAACACCACTACTTGGAGCTGATGCTGCTTTATGTAGTACTTCCTGAATTAGATTGCAAGTTACGGAAGCACTTACAGGGTAATGACTTGAACCCCCGCATCATTGTGTGTAGTGTACAAAGTAGTTGGGCTGATCTCACGTTCTTAAGATTTTCAGTTGTTCTTAATCTTGTCAGATTTAACCATCTAAGATGAACCTTCCCCTTGAGGAGAGAAGGAAAGGAAAAATCTTTCAATAAAAAAAATAATTATCATGACAAAGGACAAAACTAGCAAAAATGGTTTTAAAAGTAGAAGTTCTTTTGTGAAAACACTGCTGCCCTATGACCTGGAACTGGGCCTTGAAGCCTGGTAGGGAGGTCTGAGTCCAGTAATATTCAAAAAAAACCTTTTTTTCCATGCTTGTATTGAAATTTGACCATGTCAAGTGTCTCAAAAAAAAAAACCCAACAAGCGTGGTGGGTAGTGAAGTTATCTGAAGATTTTTGAGAATGTGTGAGCACTCCTTCCTTTCTCCCTGCTTTATATGTAGTATGGGCACAGAGTAACCGAGTGTGCTTCGTGTGGGGTATTTGAGGACTCACAAGCCCTGGCTTGAGAAGCTGTGGTAGCACTTAGCTTGTGAAGGGCATGCAGAAAGCTCCCTCTTGTGGCACTCAGACAATGAGGTAAATGATGCTTGACTTGAATTAAGTGGGAGAAGCTCCCTCTTGTGGCACTCAGACAATGAGGAGGTAAATGATGCTTGACTTGAATTAAGTGGGATGGGTGGGGAAAAGCAAGAGCTGGAATTAGAGGCGAGTAGATGCTGTTTATAGAAAATTCTATTTACTAGCTGAGGTGTTGTGCAAGGGCTCTATAATGGTTAAGAGAAGGGAATAGGATTTTATAAATCACGTTTACGTGAGAGGCTGAGTGTATTAAAGACCTGAGCAACAGATATAGATATGAATATGCATGCTAGTATAAAAAGCATGTTGTTATTAAATTTACTTTACTTTAAAATTACTCATAATTACAAGTTTGATTTATCACGTCATCTGAATAATCTTTTTTATTTAAACTTAGTTCTAATCATATTCTTTTACGATTTTAATATGGTTACGTCAAGAAGTTTACAGATTTTTTTCAGTAGACAATTTAGACGCTGGGTGTAATTTAACCAGTATAAATGCATGTGTTCATATATTCGAACTGGTAAACTTATTTTTTCTGTCTATTTACCAGGCAGTTGATTGATTATTTGTGAGGCTTAAAATAAAAATGTACTGTATGGTAAGAAATAAAATATGAGTAAATACTAATCTGCAAATACATGTATTTTTCCTTAAGAGTTTGAGATTTCTGAAACAACTTTTAATGCTTAAAATCCAGTAACATGTTTATAAATGAATGGCTTAAACTTTGGTTAAGAAACAAAAATCAGTCCATTGATCAGCGAGTCATTTATCTGGAGCCTCGTTTGTTTCCCTGTGCATTGTTGTAGCTCACCATCATCAGTAGCAACTTGCATTTAACATTGTAATTTCTCCTTTTCTGTACAAGAATAGAAATAGCTAATACTGCATTTCTTGGGCGCCTTATTTGTATTTCTGGTTTCCTCATTTGAGAGGGTTTTCTCTGCTTGGTACCTTGTTTTCAAGATAGAGATGCTATTCCGGACTGACGTATACTTAAGGTATTTTCTGTTACATTTGCAATGCATTTCTAATGCAATGTTTGTCTTTTGTAGACTGTGCCAAGAGGCAAAACATTACTTCTCCAAGCCAAGGTAAAAACTAAGACACTTTCAAATTTATGTTTCTGAGAAGAGGGCATTTGAGAAGGTGGTGGGTGGGGGGACGGATGTTAAGTGTCAGTGTTCCTTACCTATAATGTACAATGGCATCATGTAGGTACACGTTATTGTATATGATGCACATTTATGTATGCTAGATAGATACATATTTTTAGGTCAGTCATAGCACAGAGCCCACCTTATTGATCTCTCCTGGAGCATTAGAACCTTGCCAAGTGTTTCAACTAAGATTTGGCTACAGAAAGTTTGAGACTGACAACTCTCCATTTCTTATCTGTTCTAACTGCTTCCTGCCGTGGGCATGTTGGTGTACTCTAGAGCTTTTGGACTTGCAGAGATTCCTAGATACTGTTCCAGCTACATGGGATCCAAACAGCATGTTTGTGCTCTCTTCACCGATCTTGGAATTTCTGTAGTAATTCTGCTACTTTGGGTAACGTGGGGGTATTGCAACATGCAATCTCCAGTTCACCTTTTCTCTTTGATCTGTTTCATAACATGACATCTTAAGCATTAGTAGTAAAATTATCTCCATATCATACAGTGAAGGAGGCTAATAGTTATATGGTTTTTCTTTTTTTCCCTTTTCCAGGAGGAATTTACTGGCTATGACTTTGAGAACAGATTGCACGTCCGTATACACGCAGCCTTAGCCTCTCTACGGGAAGTAGTTCCACAGTGACGGACAGGAAGTCTTGTTATCCTTTCCCACGGCTTCTGCACTTTAAGATGAAGCAGAAGAAAAAGCTGTTGGGAAGACCAGCTTTTCTTCTGAAAACCGCTTGTGCCAGAGACGCTTTCCTAGTATGGTCAGAGTTGGTATGGCTTAGTAAAACATTACAATTTTAACTAAAAAGAAATCAACCAGGAAGAAGGTTAAGTGACCTTGTGTTTTTAACTCTTCAGTTTTTATTTTGTTTAAACCAAGCTGAACACAGTTGCTTGTAACTCTGTGGGTGAGCCTAAATAAGCACACGTGATTTACTTCATCAATATCGGCAGGTGGGATCTGTTACCTTTTAAAATAAATCTAAAATATGCCAAGGGGAGCACTTCTGTTTTGATTAGAATAATACACTAAAAGTAATTGGTGTAAATGTTGAAGTGGGGAATGGCCAGAACACGTGTTTTTTTTCTTCAAGGATTAGCCAATACACAGGAGGAGGAAAACTGTTCAGCTACAAAAAGCAGATCTTACTACATCGTAGTGGCTTATGTCAGTGACTTGATGATGATTAATGTGTGAATTTTAAACCTCACAGCCGTTTCCATTCTTCGTTCCTTCCCTCCCAACCCAGCTCATATTTGTGTTATAAATTATGTCAATTTAGGATCTCTGCTTCTGGTACATTCCAGCCAAATACTTACTTTGTTTGACATGCAATTACAGTGTGGGCAGTTCTTATTTCTGCTCTTAATATTCTGAATATTATGTTAAAATACATAGGCCAGACACAGTAATTTTACATGTTTTTCATTCAAGCTGCTGAATCTTTATAGCAGTGACCTTTAAAGGTATTAAAAAACCCAGCCAAACACAACACAAAACCAAAAAAATCTACTTTGGTAGTTATACCAATGCTTCAATATCTCTATAAATGGTATTCCAACCCTGTGGTGTTAAGATATTGAAATACCTCAGAGAGCTTAAAACTTCTATCATGACCATATAATTTTTAGTACTTGGACATCTGTGCTCATCTGTAGTGCTTTTTACTCTTGTCTGTAATATGTAGTACTTCCTTATGTTTTATATTCAGTTAGTATTATATTCTAGGAAGGTAAATATTTTTTTAAAAAAGGTTATGAATGGAAATCTGACCAGAAAGTTAGCTGAATTATGTTACTTTGCAAAGCTAAGAAAACTGGATATCCTTGGAAATATTTATCCAAAAGCCTTATCTTTACTTTGGTCAGGTTGCCTTAAACAGTTCCTTAGCTTAAACTTTTTTTTTCCTTACCTTTTTGTAGAATATGTTGCCAAAGTTTTAGACCTTGCCCACATCTAACCTTCATTGATTTGCTTTTGAGGTTGCATCCAAAGCAAGACTGATATGGAGGAGAGAAGTAATATCCTATTTGGCAGGCCAAATGAAATGGTTGAGACACTTTTATTTCTCTCTAGAAATACATGGTTCCTGCTATGAAAGGCATTCCTAGAGCAGTTAAACACTTATGTTGCAGTTCCTGAAGGAGAGGAGAGACTCTTAACTCTTAAAAAAAACAGTTTTATTTTTCTATAATTTAGGTGTGCGTTGCAGTTCCTGAAGGAGAGGAGTGACTCTTAACAAAAACAGTTTTATTTTTCTATAATTTAGGTGTGTTACAGATAGTACACTGGGGTTTTTTTAGTCAACTTTGACAGTAATATGGCGTCACAAATGAGTGTTCAACCTTATTTGGTCCATCCAAATAAGTATTGACTAGAAAACAATATATTGTGTATATATAGTGACTACTTAGAATTCAAATAATGGTTTTAAAAACGGGCTTCAGTATACTTGAAATCTCATTTTGTCCTATTTGACTTTTAATGTTTTGCAATGAGACAGTCCATTCTGGGTAAATAGCTAGAAATGGTACAGTTACTGACAAAATTCCTTTTAAATACACTGCTTAAATATAATGTGAGACTAGGCTGTTCGGGACACAAAGCACCTGCATGCGATTTGTGTTGGGATATCTAGGGTCTACATACTTGGAGGTAGCTAGCAAACTGTAGTAAATTTACCAAAAGGCCTGTTGCTGTCACCGGGCCAGGAGTGGGTATGGAAAGACACTATATATTCATATAACAGTTTAAGTCTGTACAAATTGCAGCTTTTCTGTGGATTTAGCGAATCATCACTGAAATAGAACTATCTGTTTCTGTATTGATTAATTACATTTTCCTCCCCTCATAGGAGAATCTCCTACGTTGTAAATGTTAAAATTATTTTTTATGTTAGATTGTGCCTGTGATGAGAAAAATTACAGCTGTATTTTGTGTAAACTGCTAAGTTTTTATACTTTGGAACTCGGAGGCATGGTCTAATAGCAATAATGGGATATGCATCTTGCTAGTTACTATGTTAAGACTATCTTTACTGGGTCAGGTATTTTTGTTGATGTTGATGCAGTTTTTATCTCAGTATGACTCATTTCAAATAAATAACTAGAATTTTTAGATGTCACAAAGTGGCATATTTATTGTGATGTACTGTAAATGTTGTTAATTTACAGAACTTGCACTTTTATATTTCTGAGTAAAATTAAAAGAAACATGGACATGAGTTTTGTTCCCTTGCTCCTCGAGTTTGTCTTTTAATTGGTGGCCTCCTGAACAAGATGAAATCGAGTATTGAGAAAACTTCTGGGATGTCAAGTGACTCTGTAACAAAGTCTTCTAGTCAGCGATTACCTCAGCCTTTGTTCTTCCAGTATAATGCTAGTCTCCTGGTTTAGAAAGTGAGTTATGTGTGTCATGTTGAGATCAACCGTAGAGTGAACAAGGTTTAAGATGCGTTTTTAAGACAATGTTCTTCATTAAAGAAAAAGAACCACACACAATTGTACTTGTTGTATTCCTACATCTTTGAAAAAATGTTTCGAGTTTACTCTAAAGCAAGCACTTTAATTTCTTCTCTCTCTGACTTTGAATGCTTGTTTCATATTCTAGTTATGCTTTATTCATAAATAAAATTCCCCAAATGTTGTATTGCATTGCTTTTCAGTTTTACAACAATCTGATTGTCTTTCCAACAATCAGTCGTACTCGTGTTTAAAAATTGCTCTGTAACTGTTTGAAGCTTGAGCAGGAGCAACAGGTTACGTTGGTGTAGGGCTGTACGTGGTGTCACGAGGGTGCTAATTGAACCTGTCGGTGGGGTGAAAGCAGGGTGGCCTATAGAGGGTGCTCAGATTCCCTTTCCAGTCATCATTACCAAATACCAGCAGCGGTAGCAATCACTTCCATGGAAAAACTATGCCGTGGCAAACAAGTATTATTAAAGCTAATGTTAAGAAATAAATTTATATTTAGCTGTCTTTTAAGGCAGTTGACCAGTGCACCTGCCCTTGGCTCAGCAGAGGCTCGGCAGGCAGCCTAGAATGTACCTGGTTGACTCCATGGGACTCTAGGAGTAAGAAGGACAGGTATATTGCCTCTGATCCTTCAGCCTGAAGGAACTGTGTAACAAATTATTTCATCTAAATCAGGAGGTTAGAAAAAAAGGCAGGACAGAGAATTGCTTCTCTGCTAACTGCAGTTTGAGTAGATGCTTGTATTGTCTTGCATTCTAATGTTTTGGGGTAATCTATAGAAAATACGGCTTCAAAACCTACTTTTATCTGGAGAAGTTGTCTTAGAGAAGATGGAAATATACTGGTAAGTTCCAGTTATCATTCATTTTCACCAAAGAACAATTAAAATGTGGTATTCTGTATTGATTCAGAAAGTGTGGGAACCTGCTGGTTTTACACTGAATTATCTGTATCTATATACAATACTATTACTTTATGCCACTAATTAATTTAAAGCAAAATCTCGTATGAAATCAGCTGGTGTACAAGATGCACTGGGAAAAAAAAGGTTTGAGTTATTTTACAAAAGGCTTGGCTTTGTCACAGTGTTGCAAATCTGTGTTCTCCTGGACTTTGAAACTTGTTCAATTGATCGGTTACAAAATTGTGCCATTATTAGTAGATGGCAAAGAGTAATTTCCCCACCCCCGGCACTTGAATACTCAAGGTCGTTTCCTTTGATTGAACTGCAATTAAATATTGCACTGTTTGGCATCCCTTCCATCTTTGTAGGGATTTTTTTATTGCTGGCATTGCATGCACTCTCCAGAGTGCTTGCAGAAGGGACTGCATACCAAGCAAAGGAGGTGCAGAAGGTCAGCGTGGTGAAGGATGGCACCTGAAAGGACCCAGTCCCTCTGCTCTTCCAAACCTAGAGGCCTCTGGCTTTGGTTTCCAGACTCTGTATCTCATTGTATTTTCTTCTGCTCGATCAGATGCTGTGTTCTTTGACGTGTCTCAGTGTAGGCATTACAATGTTCAGGTTACCTCTTACTGCTCTTTTGCATGAGCAAAATACAGATGAGGTGGAAAGAAAGTCAACTTGAGAGAGGCTTTCTAGAGTTAAATACCAAAATGTTTCTATTTTTCACCATATTTTTTTTTTATGTGAGTTCAGACTCCAGAACTGGACCCAGCAGAGGTTACCAGGGTAGGTGAGCATTACAGTTGTGTTGCCTTCCTGCTTCTGCTCAGAACCTCTTTGCTTAGTTACCCAAGACTTTCGCGACCTGTTTAGCTGCTGTGTTTTAACCAGTGTGATTCAGCCGTGGGGAGTTCGTGTTCAGTACTCTTACCCCTACTTTTTCACTGCTGCTTTTTCAGTAATGCTGTTTGTTATCTTTCGATGTGAGTTCTTCTGAGATGGTGTTCCAGTATTCAATTTGATCAAGTAATTGGGTACTTTGAGGCTGGTCCTCAGCAGTTTCTCAGTCATTTTTTGGCAAGCTGTGCTTACCTATAGGAAATGCCCAGAAAGGCTCCCAGGTGAAGAGGTTAAGAGGGGAAAAAAAAAAAAAAGTTTTGAGTTGGGTATTTGAGAGGGGAAGGGAGGGAGTCAGACTTTGCTGAGCAAAACCATTTTTGTAACGAATGTCTCCCAGTCTTTCACTAAAAGCAATGTGTTTACTGTATCGAAAAAAAATTACTGTACTCCTGGGACATGTACTTCTCCCCACTTGTAGCAAAGGCCCCGACGAAGGGCAAAACAGAGTCAGAGAGATCCGTAAAGACACCTTACGTAAAACCAGTATTTTGTACCTTTGGCAGGAAAAGCAAGAAGGCTTTCATGGAGATTTTTGTATATGAATGCAACCCCCCACTTAAAATTCTACTGAAGTCTCTGGCAGGTGGAAACACAAAGAAGGTGATTGCAAAAAAAAACCCAAAAAACAAAAAAAACCAAAACCCAAACAAACACAAAACCAAAAAAAACCAACAACAGAAAAAAAAACCACAAAACAAAAAACAAGTCCTCTTCTCCTGCCTATTTAGCTGAAGCTTTGAAAGAGATTGCAAGTTTAAAAAACCAAAACTGAACGCACCCCACCAGTGTGATCCATTAACCTGTTGTGAGCTATCTAATGAAGAATTAATGAATGACCTGATCATTTTTTTCTTTTTTTTTTTTTTTTTTTTTTTTTTTTTGGCAGGAAACTGAGGCTCACCTGCGACCTTGATTTGCTGAACTTCTGTCCAGTCTCTGTGTTGTAAGACTTTAGCATTGTCTGGAAGCTGTTACTTCTGCAGAGGATGGGGGGACCGAGGTAATTGCCTGCGGTGGGGGAGACTGCCCGTAGGGTGACGGGCTCTTCGGTCTGGGGCCAAGGGGCAGCATGTTTCAGTAGAGTAGCTGGTACACTTTGTATGACAGCTTTACTCTAGATGGTTTCCAAAATGGTCATTCAAGTTCCAGCGCAGTGAATTAGTTTTCCAGACGTACTTTTTTCCCCCTGTGTGCTCAAGTTTAAGATGGATGTGCTTTCATGTTAGTGGCTGAAGCCTTTTTAAATATTTAAGGAGGTTTACGCTTCTGTTTGGTTACCTCTGATAATTTTTCTGTAGTTTATGACATCTGTACTTAAACATCTTTGAAGCTTGTCCTGTGCAGAGCTTTGCAGACCTGCAATTCTGAAAGTTTTTAAAAGAAGCAAATTTACAAGTTATATTCTGATCTGTATTCATTGAGGATGGTTTCAAAGTAACCACAGCTGCCTTTGCACCACGGGTATGTTTAATGCTGTTATAAAGTCCTGTTGCTACTGTATGTTCTCCACGCAGAAATCTAGACTTCCAATTACTATCCTGACTTTGGCAATGATACATTTTCTGGTCCTCGTATATATTATTGAAGTATGTCTTACTCTTTCTATAGGAAAGCTGTGGTTCCTAATTTCATAAGTCATTGCATATTCGTGTTTAACTTTTTTAAGAGCGTGGTCTGTATTGTCACTCTCCAGGATTGATGAGCTACTGTGAGAAGTTTTCTTAATGAGAAATTACTTTCTAAGGATTCTTCTGTGGAAGAAGCATGTTGTGGTGAGTTTACAGTTAACGTAATTTCCAGGGAACTAACTTGAAAGCGATACAATATTCTGTTAATTTTGGATGAACTATTATGAATATAACATTACTTATCTTATTAAAGGAAACCATTGTAGATAGTCTAAATGCTTTAGCAACAATGACATTTGAGTCTTAAATCTTCAGTGCTGCTGGGACTCCCCTCAGGTTTTTGTAGATGCAAACATCCAGGAATGCAGGAGCAGGTAGGTAGATGATGGTTTTCCAACTTTGAAGATTGATGTGTAGCATTGTTGGTGGATAGAAAGTGTGTTTGTTTTTTTTTATAGCACGGCAGGCTCCTGATCATGGCTTCCCCCATGATCTTCCTGCCTTTATGATCCTCAGAAACCCAGTTAGTGGTAACCTTGACAATATGGCATGGCACAGTTACTTTTTTTTGTGCTTATTTTATTGGAACAGAAAATGATCTTGTGTGTATCCACTGAAACTGTACTGGAAAGCAAATGCTACCCCTGGGGCTGTTGAGGTTTGTTTCACGTTTTGCCCTTGCAGTCGTAAGGTTCTGCAGAATGAATGGAGCCGTACTGAGGAATCCCCTGCTTCCTCGTTGGGTGACTAAAGAGGTTGCAGCCCCCAGCCGGTTGCTCTGAGCTCCTGCCAGAGGTCACATCGCTTCTCGGGTGCTTTATTTTGCAGTCTGTCACGCCGGTTTAAATCCCTTGAGTGTTAGATCTCACCTATATTAAAAGGGCAGGCTGTGAACCGGGGGGTGGGTCTGCGTACCCACCCGCTGTACCACGGCCGGCAGAGGGGCGGGAGGGCTGCGGCTGCAGCCTTCCTCCTTTCCACGGGTTGAAGCGCTGGATCGTGTGAAGTCCTCATAACCTGAGACTGAGCACAAAGTTACACTCTTGCTGTGCCGGGAAGAAACGTCTCTGGTTCAGCTGCCTGTTGCTGGTAAGGAAAAATATTTTGGCAAAGGCAAAGCACTTCCTCAGGCGGGTTCTGCCCGCGCTGTGGGTCCAGCCAGTCATGCGCTTGAAGGCAAGTTGGCAGCAGAAAGCGAGAATGGGCTTCATGGTAGCATGGGAAGGGAGAAAAGGCAGTGGCTGGCAGGGTGGCAGCACTGTGGGTGCTTGCTTCCCCCGGGCCGTGTGGCGGGCGGCCAGCACCCATAGGTGCTCAGCCTCACCCTTGCAGCCCTTGCCCTGCTTGTCCTGAGCAGCAGAAGCCACGACACTGTACTTCAGTCTTAAAGTATATTATTAAAAGGGCTATGAATAGAGTTGTGCTCAGTCGTATCTATTAAATGTATTAAATGCACCGTTCTTGTGCAGCAATGAGAATCAAGGTGTATGTTGCAGGAGGAAAGTCCTCGCTGATGAGCTGCAGTGTCACTGTGAGTTTTAATGTCTATTTCTCCTCCTGCTCTTTTTTTTTTTTTTTTTAAATCCTTTTTGACCAACAAACTAATGCTGAAGAGCAGAGTGCAGCCGAACCTCAGCATCGCCATGCTGATGACGCACAGGCACTGTGACATCATACCTTCCCAGCTGGGTGTGGCAGCCCTCGTCGGTGGCGCCGGAGGGAGGCTGGGACCAGGAGAGAGCAAGTGCCAAAGGGAATGGAGGAGGAGGAGGAGAGGGGTGGAAGAAGTGTCCTGTAAACCTTTTCTTGAACACGAATGGCTTTTGTGGCGCATCGGGGGGTGCTTTGGTGGGTTTTATCTTTAAAAAAGGGAATTCACAGCATGGGTTTGAATTCACGTCATTGTTCGCTAGTTGGCTGCCCCCCATCCCCCAGCTGTGCCTTCTGCCTAAAGGTGCGGAGGGGGGAGTAAAGGATTTGGTTGCTGCAAGTGGTAAATACCTCCTTTAAGTTAAAGGAGCACTTGGGAAGGGGAGCAGGAGGAGGGTTATTGGTGGCGTGGCAAGGGATGAGCAGCTGCAATCACGCCCTGGGTGTTAGGTGCTTCACGCTGGGGCGGGGTAGATGCTCAGCTGAGGGCTTCTGCTTGTACAGATGAGAAACCATAAGCCAACTTGAGTGGGCAATGATGCAGTCTTCAAACATCAGGCTGGTTGTTCCATACGGCCTCAAGTCCCTGCTTGAGGGGGTGAGCCGGGCTGCCATGCAAAACAACCCGGACGACATCACTGAGTTTCTTGCGCTCTATTTCCAAGATCTCGTCACCTTTCGAAAAGGTTTGTTCCTACCAGTGCTTCACCTGAAGAGCTGAGCTATTTGGGAGTGCTGTCCTACTCCAGCTTAACTTCTGCTTCTGTTTTCAGGGAATCCAAATCTGGATATAACAGAACTGGTTGAAAAGTTTGAGCTTGTTAATGGTAAGGTAGTTGTTGTTTGTTCTTTTAAGATACTCTGGGACAGTGTTCCAACCTGAATGGATGTAAGCAGTTTTCACTTACCACGGGAAAGAGACACATAGGCTCTGAGCTATTGAAGAGGCAGGCACCTTCAGAAAGCACTTGCTTCTCTTTAACGTGGGAAGAATTAGTCCCCTGGGATGCTGTACTTTCTCCTTGAGTATAGGTGAGAGCCTGGATGCTTTCGGTCCTTTTAATTTTAAGGTATTGCAGTGTAATTTATGGCCCCCTAAGCAGAATAGTGACTTTACCTTTCAATATTTATTTGCAAAAAATAGGTTATCTCTTTGTTTATAAAAAGATGATCTAATTCTGTGGGATGCTGATTCCGTTGGGAAGGGCTGGGAGCTTTCATCTGCTCCCTGGGTTTGGCTGTAAGTGCTGGAATAGGTGGTGCCACATGAAGGCTGTGTGGGAGCAGTGGAATGGGTGTGTTGTCTAGCCCACAGCCTGTTTGTATCTGCCCCACTGGTTTGGGTCTCCATCATCTGGTTACTGTAAGTGTCAGTAGCTTCAGACAGCCCCTTTATTCAAAAAGGCCACCTAAGCTGGGTTCCAAGTAACCCTGGATCTAGCCAGCACATGAGACAGCCTTGGTCTGTAGATGGAGCACTACATGCTAAGGTAACTACAGCAATGAAGAGAAGCCCCAGCTATGGATAGAAAGTGCTACTATTTTATTCCTAGCTTGGCGTCTCCTCTAAAAAAGCTAACCACCACTGATTTCAGAACTTGAAGCAGTTTTCTTCTTGTAAAAATCCCAGGTGGATATGCAGTGCGTCTTAAAAGTATCACTGAAAGCCAAATTTTGATGCATTTACAAATATTGCATTAATGATGTCACACAGCAATTTTTGCGTAATCATAGAATCACAGAATGTTTTGGGTTGGGAGGGACAAAGGGACATTAAAGATCATCTAGTCCAACCCCTCTGCCATGGGCAGGGACATCTTTCACTAGATCAGGTTGGTCAAAGCCCTGTCCAACTTGACCACCCTCATTGAAAAAATAAATTAGTTATCAAGAAATCTCCCCTCTTTCAGTTTAAGACTGTTGCCCCTTGTCCTGTCAATGCAGGCCTTGGTAAAAAGTCTCCCTCCGTATTTCTTTATAGGCCCCCTTTAAGTACTGAAAGGCCGCAGCCAGGTCTCCCCGCAGCCTTCTCTTCTCCAGGCTGAACAACCCCAACTCTCTCAGCCTGTCCTCACAGCAGAGGCGCTCCAGCCCTCGGATCATGTTTGTGGCCCCCTCTGGACCTGCTCCAACAGCTCCGTGTCCTTCTTATGCTGAGGGCTCCAGAGCTGGACGCAGCACTGCAGGTGGGGCCCCACCAGAGCAGAGCAGAGGGGCAGAATCACCTCCCTCCACCCACTGGCCATGCTGCTTTTGGTGCAGCCGAGTGCACGTTGCTGGCTCACGTCCAGCTTTTCATTCACCAGTACCCCCAAGTCCTTCTCCACAGGGCTGTGCTCAATTTATTCCTCCTTCAGCCTGTATTGGTTTGGGGGATTGCCCTGATGCAGGTGTAGCACCTTCCACTTGGCCTTGTTAGCTTCATGAAGTTTGCATGGGCCCGGTCCTTAAGCCTGTCAAGATCCTTCTGGATGTCATCCCTTCCCTGTAGCATAACAACTGCACCACTCAGCTTGGTGTCATCTCCAAACTTGCTGAGGGTGCACTTGATCCAACTCTCTGTTATTGATGAGGATATTAAATAGCATTGGTCGCAGTACGGACCCTTGAGGGACACCACTCATTACTGGTTTCCACTTGAACATTGAGCAGTTGACTGTAACTCTCTGGACATGGCCATCCAGCCAATGCCTTATCCATCAAATAGTCCATCCATCAAACACATCTCTCGCCAATTTAACATCCAGAATGTCATGTGGGACTGTATCCAAGTCCTTACAGAAGTCCAGGTAGGTGGCATCCATAGCTCTTCTTGTGTCTACTTATGCTGTCACTCTGTCATAGAAGGCCACTAGATTGTTCAGGCATGGTCTGCCCTTGGTGACAGCCGTGTTGGCTGTCTTTACTCACCTCCTTGTCTTCTGTATGTTTCAGTGTATCTTCCAGGATCCATACCATGATTTTACTGGGCATGGAGGTGAGGCTGACTGGCCGGTAGTTCCCAGAGTCCTCCTTAATACCTTTTCTTAAAAATGGGTGCAATATTCCCTTTTCTCTAGAGTCACTGGGGACTTTGCCTGACTGCCGTGCCTTTTCAAATATGACTGAGAGTGGCTGCATAATGCAGACATTTTCCATCTGAATGCCTGTCAGTTGTTTGCTTATGTGTTTGTGAACTGACCCTTGCATGTTCATCGAGCTCCAAAAATGGGTCCCTCTCGCACCTTTTTCCTTATAGACCACTTAGCCCATCTCTTTGTGTTGTCCATCCCCTACCATGTGGTCACATAACTGTGTTATCAAAGGGGGTGATCAGAGAGGAATTCCTTAGCAAGCTCGAGCAAGGTTTCCTCTGGAGTTTCCCACCCACAGTGCCAGCACAGGTTTTTGGGCTGGTTGTGCACCAGTAGAGAGCTAACTGGCTAGTTTGTGTAGCTGCAAGGGAGCCTTTCTTTTCTGTGGCATTGCCCAAGACCGACATTGGGTTATAAATGGGCCTGTGTTGGCTTAGGATGGCAGGCAGAATAATGTTTTTTCAGAGAGGATTTAGGTCTGTCATCCTTTGAGTTGTGTATCTCATAATTTCTGGTCTCATCCAGTCATGACTTCAGAAAACGGCTCCGCACTGAGCTGTGGTGATGTCTTAAAGACCCACCTGCTGTTCTGCTACTGTGCTGGTTTTACATATTGGCCAGCGCTTGCTGATCATGATAGAAACCAGACCTCTTGGTTTGTTGGGGGTTTTTTTTCCAGTGCTGAGGGTTTTATTAACCACATGACGGAACACGGTCGTGATCCCACAAGTGCTCTTGTCTTCCTCCCTTGATAACTAATCCAGAAGCTGGTTTTCACTCTGTATTTAAAACTTCTTCATGGCTTACCCTGCTCTTCATTTGGATACCTGTCAATTCAACTAAACAAGATCCTTGAGGAAGCTAAGATGTCATGATGTGCTTAATGTGAAAGGTTTAATCTTTTAACCCCTAACTGTAGCTGTGTTTGTGGGCAGTAGATAAGAATGTAGCCATCACTGCAGGACCATGAATACAGTTAAGGCTTCCTAGATTTTGAAGTGGTACCACTGCTTTCTGAATTTAATTTTTTTTTTCCCCTTACTGATAGGCAAGCAGCAACTCCTCCCACCCCCTGCCTTGAATTATTCCCTCTCTGCAACCCGGGAAGCCTCATAGATGCTCTACAGCACATTTAATTGAGTTGAAACTGAAATCACCCTTAATTTTATTTAAATGGAAACAGGTGCTCATGTATTGCCATTGTGTGCTTTTTACCTTGCAGGAAATGGGAATGAGAGATTGGAAGAGAAGACATTAGAGTACACGGATACTTTGTTTTCTCGGGAGCCCAAGCAGAGGGACAAGTGTACTGACACAGAGGAAGACCAGCTCCTTGAAGAACCTGATATTCAGTATAGCTCCAGAGTAACTCAATACCCATCAGTTGCCAGTTCCATTGTAGAGAGCAAGTTCCCCCCTGGATCTGATGGAGCTTCATCCCCTGAGGGATCTGAACTGCTGTATGTCCCTGCTGAGCCTGCCCAGCTTGCTGCCCATGTGCTAGGTAATGGTAGCTCTCTTTATTGTGTGAGGGATGTGGCAACCAGTGTGCAGACACTTTATGAAGACTCTCAGATCTCAGAGAATGAGTTTACACCAGTAGAAGGTGGTGATGAAGATGATTCTGCTGTCCCAGCAGCTGAGGCTTCTGTAGTGGCTCCTAGGTCACAACCAGGAGCGTGGAGTCCATCCTCCATAGCTAGAGAACTGGGTCCCTCAGACAGCCAGGCTGGTGTCTCAACAGATGGTGTAAATCAAGCTTCCTTGGTCACCTTGTGGGAAGAACCATCACTTTTTTCACCACCACCATCACCTGCTCCTAAGGATCCGTTGCAGGCTGTGCCTTCCTGCAAGGAAGCTGAGGTTACCTCAACCACTGAGGCTGTATCACTGGTTTGGAATGAGGAGCTGATTGCGGATGCAGAGGTTCCACCTTATGTAGAGCAGTTTCCACAGAAAATAACCATTCCCTTTGTAGACCAAACAGCTTATCTGTTAAGGATTGAGCTGCCATTAAACGCAGGCCAGGGCTCAAGTGCTACAGCCTTAGATGCATCTGCTGGTGACTTAGTGTGCCATCCTGAGAGAGCGGAACCTACAGCAGAAGTGGAGTCCACTGAGCAAGTGTATGTCTTGTCAGGTAAGAAAATTTGGGTCTTTGTCATCTTCCTGTTGCAGCTCCACAGCTTCATCAGTGGTCATTAAATGGAAAAGCACCTATGTCAGTGCAACGCAGGGTGGAGATGACTTACTCTAAGAAAGTACTGTACTGACACTTTCTGCTTGGTCCCAGTGCACATGTATTAGATCTCTCTGCTGTCTGTTCCAAGAGATGTGGCTAGCTCTGAGCAGGACTCCTGCACTCCTGTGGGCAAATATGCAGATAAGAGTGATGGGAAGGTGCCCATTGATGCCAAATGGTCTTGCTCAAAACAAGCCATATTTTCTGAAGCAGGTGCCAGAGACCTAAGATGTAATACATGTGCCCTGTGGCTGAGGAGAGGTGAGCAGTTGGAGCCCTAGTTTTGATTCTACTCCCCTGAAATATCCTGCACTGACCTGGGAGGTTTTCCATTTAGAAATATGGTGGTGGTTGCCTGTGCTGTCTTGAGCTTGGTGAGTTTCTGCAGCTGGGCTGAGTGGGGTAAACACCAGGCATCAGTTCCACAAACAGCAAGAGAGCTGGTGCTTGTCTTTCTGGGTGAGGCCCTCACCAGCATCTCCTCCCTGTGGTGACATGTGCCCAGCTCCTCCCTTGCCCAGCTGGAGAAACCCTCTGGGGTGGAGCTCCCCTGCCTCCAGTCTCCCTGGTACTGCAGAATCTGTCCAAGCCCTGTCCCAGGAGAAGTACAGCTGTGAGGCCTCAACAAAGCATTTGGTAGCAGAGAGCTGAGCTTAGGCAGATTTGTCAATTAACATTGGCTCTTTTAAAAAAAACAGACCAAAAATTTCAGAGGAGTTTGACAAAGGTCAGTTTCAGAAACACCAGACATGCTTATCCAGAAGAGCCTCTGCTCTGACCATAAATGGTTTTACTTTTTCTAGGCTGCAGGTGTTTGCCAGCCACATACCAAACAGCATTTGCTATCCCAGCTCTCTCCTCTAACATGCTTTTGCCAGGTGTAGGTATGTTTGGTTTAGACACAAGGATTTACAACATGACTGAAATATTCACTGCTTCCGATACCAGCACTCTTATTTTTATCTTTGTAGCCATGGCATCAAGTGAAGCAGGACAGCCACCACCACATTCTAATGTGTGGACCCTCTATTGCCTAACTGACTTGAGACAAGGCCAAAAATCATCACCGTCCCTTTCTCCTGCTGGAGCTGGTATTCCTTACTCCCAGGCAACCCTCAGTCTTTCCAGGGGGAAAGATCAACACTGTGGTCAGCTGTCACAAGTATCCACTCCGATTTACATGATACAAGAAGCAAGCAAGAGAAGAGATGCTCCACCTTTCATTTTAGTGGGCTCTAATGTTCAGAATGCGCAGGACTGGAAACCTATTCCTAGGCACGCTGTCTTTGCACAGCAAGAGGCAGATGCTAGGAGGAGATTCGCTACAGTCCCCGTCCCAGTCGCCAGGCCAGCTGATGAGCCAACAGATATGGCAAGCCCCAAATCCAATTCTGCAGAGGAAACTGCAGCTCAGCCGTGCACACCTGATACCATCTTAGTTGCTATCCCTCTGGATGATGTGATGTCTGCAAAGAAAGGCTCGCCTGCTGGTGATAAGCACCCAGGTATAAATGCTCTTGCAGAAAGCTGTGGTACTGCAGGATTGATTGCCATGACATTGGGCCCAGAGCTAGGGCATAAATAAGTCAGCTTGCTTCTTGCATGGGTTTTGCAGAGGGAGGTGCTAGTGTTTGGATTCTACTACTAAAAGCTTAATTAAATAAGGTTTAAGACCAGTGGTTAAACTACTCCTCATGCATAACAGACCCAGCACCTTCCTCTGCTTGTTACACTTTGCAATTAGCAGTTCTAGTCTTGCTCTGGTTTTAGTCTTAAAGTAACCAAGTTTTTAATTTCATGTTCATAAGCATCTTGAACCCTTGAAGTTCAGGCTGCAGGCAGCATAATATTCAGAGCCTGGCAAAGTAAAGTAGGAATTGATGCACTTCTTGCTGCCTACTTTGTACTGAGTTCATGTTGTTTTTTAAACAGGTTGAAAAGAGAGGCTGTTTGGACTTCAGGAGGAAGGGAGTTTACATTGTAATAAACCAAATAAATAAATAATTGCAAATGGTCAAAAAAAGCCAGCAATTAGAACTGCATTCCTATGCATTTTATACTCTCCTAGCACAGCACAGCATCCTGAATGCTCACTTTGTGTGAATTATGACCACTACAACACATCTGCTGCAGCTGTTTCACTGAAGAGGGGCCCAGCTTCTTCACTGGGCTGAGGCAGCGTATGTGTAAGGCCCAGCAACACTGACAGGTTCCATCCAGAGCCAAAGTTAGTTAAGCATCACCAGGGGTTACTGCTGGGGTTATATTCTAGAAAGGAACTGTATGCAAACATCAGGAAGAGGAGAAGGAAGACATACTTTCAATTAGAGGAAGGAATTATTTTCACACATGGTCAGTCCATTCAAACTACAGGTTAAGCAAGGAAAGCTGAGGTTATGCTTCAAGGAAGGGGTTAAGAAAAAGTACTTTTATTTTGCTATGGTCACTCAAATATGCCAGACTCTCGCTGTATGAATAGGTCTGGGGGGGGAGGGAAAAAAATTACCTGGTCATCTTTGGTTTTCCTAGCGCAAAGTGTTCAATGCTGTGACCTGCTGAAGCACTAATCTGGCAGCTAGGCTGTTTCTATACAGCTCAGCACCCCACTTGACATTGCACAGGCATGAAGACAGGCTTCAGGAAATATTGGCTTGAGGGCGGAGATGAGGCTTCCCAGAGCCAGGGCAGGTTTTTGGTTTCTGCATCTACAGGTCACTCTGAGAACTGGGCCCTCACAGGAAAGAGTTCCAAAGAAAAGGCTTTCCCTTATCTATGCAAATATGCATCAGCATGACTAGCGGGGTAATTCTAGTAGTGCACAGACCAAAAATAGAAAGCATCTCATTGCCTCATTCACAGTTTCTGTAGTCCACCCTCAAGGCTAGAGCTACAGCCTCGCTGCCTATTCAAGGAGAAAGCTCTCTCTTTCCCAACCATCCCAGCCCCATAGCAGAGTTCTCCTGGTTAGGGGAGAAGAGGGCCCCAAAGCACACATAAGCACGCTATGCAGCTTCCTCACAGCCCCTTTTGGAGCAGGCTTCCTCAGAAAGGGTCAGCACTGTCAAACACCACTCACTCCAGACAAGATGCAAGAAGTTTTGAAGCCTTTATTTAGTAGCAATTAAATTATTCAATTAACACTAACCTCCAGGCAGCAGTTAAAATATTGTACAAAGAGCAGCTTGCCCTCTAGAAGCTCTGTACACAGTTCAATATAAACTTACACTCTAAGATTGAATGCACCCCAACGGAAGAGGGGTAAAGCAGCTGTGCACAGGAGGCCTCGCCGAGGTGCTGTACTACCTTTGAAATGCACAAGACTTCCTCCCCCGGGAGCCTGCACAGTACAGACCACAGGTCCTGTCCCCCCTGCCGTGTTCCACCGGGTCCTGGACTGATGAGGTTCTTGCCTTTTTGCCGTGGTGCTGGGCACCGGAACTTCTAGTGCATGAAACAGATTCTTTTAAAACCTGTTACTAGTGTGCAGTTCAAATCAAATCCACAGATATTTAAATGGCTCTTAATTCCTTAAACCATAAGGGTGGTAGCAAAACAGGAGAGCAAAATTCAAAACACACTGCACAAACATTGAATAAATACCTCTGAGTAATGTTACCAGCTTAAACAACTGCATTAATGCTCCAGAGATGGGAATGCTTCTGGAATCTCTGCCCAGAACTCAGGATTTAAGGGAGGAGTTACTTTAGTAAAAGAAAAGTCATTTTATGAAAAAATTACAGCTTTACAAAAGTGACACACCCTTCTTCATTTAGGAACAGAATATTGCAATTACTGTGTGTGCTTTTAAACATTCCCCTGTCACAATAAATAAAACCAGTTTTATGTGTGCCAATGCCATCTACAAGAAAGAAAGTATTCACAGAACAGCTGAAGGTGTTCTATTCCTCATACACCACAACCTAATATAGGTGTATTCAGCAAACAGGGTGGCTCAAAACCATGGTGACTGACCTTGCCCACACAGGACCCACCATCAGCCAGAAAAATTATTCCCCTACCTATGGGACTGCAGATCCTGTACCACCAGATTCACTGTGGAGATGCTTAACATTCCATTTGATAACATGTCAGTTTTTTCAGGAGATAAGTAAAACAAGGGAAAAAACATTAAAACATATTAAGACTTCTTTGTATCAGTCACAGCCTCCTTATTGCATTTTAATAAATATCAGGCAAGTTAAAGTAGTTTCTGTCCCAGTAGTTGCCAGAATAAAGCCAGTCTTGTGTACCAGTATAGGGATTGGGGCCTTGGTGGAACCATCTGCAAGGAAACAGACAGCATGTTAGGGAAGCTGTTAACACACGCTTCTGTGGAAGTTCAGAACTGCTTTGCTGCATCTTGAGCAGTTTGCTGTTCAAACCAATTACTGTGATTGCACGAGCCCTCTTGGTTTTAACTTTGTAAGTGACTTTGAAGCCACCTTCAGTGGCCAGGTCTCCCCATTTGCCATGCTGCTTAAATGGCTCCTAGGTGAAATTACTGACACTGGTATTTTGTCACTTGAAGCAGTCAAGACTATGACATAAAAAGGACAGGTACAGTTTTACTTCAAAGCAGTTGTGAACCATCATTTTGGCATGCATAAACACTAACAGTCTCTGCAAGACGTGTCAACACCACAAGCACTGCAGTCCTGAAAACAGAAAATTATTATTGCCCCGGGATTTAGATTTCCCCGTGGTTTTTTTAAAGCCTTGCTTTGCAATGCACTTAACTCAGATCAAGTGTGCCCCCTACCCTCAGCATAGATGACACAGCACCCACAGGCTGCAGGAAAAGTCCTGGCTTATTACAACTTAACTGTGTTGCATTGCGCTGGTAGCAGCGGGGGCTCATGTGAACAGCCAGAAAGCCGACTCCATCTGCATGAAGTTACTGGCAGGCTTTTGCTAGGACCACTGAAGTTCAGCACATTCTTTCTTTCCTCCCCCCTCCTCTCTTACCTCACCTGGAGGCTCTGTGTATATGCACACACAGAATACAGGTGCATGCATATGTAACCCTTTGTGGGGGGCTATCTATTTGTAAAATGAAGTGCACTTAGGAGGCCATGCTACTGGCAAGTATCCCCCAGCGGTGAGTGCAACCCTGTCAAGTCACCAATGGCACAGAAATTTGTCCTTCTTCCTCTCCCACACCTGTTTCTGGCAACCATGCAACCCACTACTGAACACCATTTGGGCCCAGTTACTCAGTCTTCTGCCTCAAAAGCATATGCTGCACAGTACCAGACCTTGAGCATTTTAACTTCTTGTATTTTGCCAAGCCGTCTTTATGGCACAAGTCAGCTTGCTAGAAGCTGCTTCTGTGGTTAATATGTTCCCCAGCTTCCTTTCACCTCCTCACCGGCCACAAAAGCCAGTTCTTCCTTTATATGCCTCACTGCAGCGAGCACACACACTTAGGTAAGTCATGCATGTGCAAGGCAGCCCATTTTAACTCAGCTCTTCCCTTCTAGGAAATCAGAAATTAAAGCACATTGGGACCAAACGTGACTCGATCTCTTTAAAAAGCAGAAGCATAAAAGCCACCAGCACTGCAGAGTCACGTTACAAAGCAGGGCAGCCGATAGGCAAGTCTTGCTTAGCTCAAAAGATCCGAGATGCGCATCGGAAGGAAGGCCTTGCACGGTGGTAAACTGAACAGCTGAATGCTTCACCGGTTCTCCTGCTGTCCTGGTTAAGTGAACTGAAGTCCACAGGAGACAGAGGCCATTCAACCCTCGTACCGCACACGGCTCGCTGCCGCATCACCTCCACGCAGGATGCGTCAGCTATTCCAAAGTAACGTGCGTGCATGTGCACGCGCATCTAGTTCACCTCGTGGTTCACGGGTAATGGCAGCTTGTTCCAGAGCACAAAGAGCTTGCCAGGAGGCAGGGAGATAAAGCACAGTCACCTCATCTCTCACATTAAGGAATTCTACCACCCAACACCTCACTAGTGTGTCTTCAATGCTTGTACAGGTCAGGACAATGTGCCCCTCCTCCAGTGACCACCTGCTTCAACAGCAAGGGGAAGGGTGATGGGAAGAACTAAGTTGGAGAGACACAGGAGACCCAACGCCGCCAGATAATCTAGCCAGGTAAGCTATGGGGGACAGAAGGGACTGATTTTCATCAAAAGCAAGAGAGCACTGGCAGCGTTTCAGAACTGAACTCGTCTTTTACTCAAGACTGAGGACTACCAGTCAGTCTCTGTAACATTAAGTGTTCAACATCAATCACTTCTTCAGAAACACGAAGACCCCACTTCTAAAATGGACTCAAAATAATTTAAAAAAAATAATAAAAAAAATCACTAGGCGCTGTGGAAAATTGTCTTACAAGGGAGGAACTCTACTAGACAAAGAAGCCTGCTTTTCTGTGGCAAGGAAATTGCAGTAGTGTACATCAGAGTTTACACTACACTGCAGGTTAAGTCCTACAGTTGACCACCTGGGAACAGGGAGGAGCGTTTCCCTTCACAGTACATTTCTTTTTCCCAAAGCACAACTCTTCCTCCACACTTCACATTCATCCTTTGGAGGCAGTCACACTTGGCATTCCTACTACAGAGATCAAACACTAGGAATCTTCTGCCAAAGC